TACATACATACATACATACATACATACATACATACATACATACATACATACATACATACATACATACTTAAATATATATTTGAATGTATAAATGCTCGCATATATAAGCACAACTATACACAAATTTTCATATAGACACACACAATTAGGATACCCAAATTCCCGTTTTCGTGTCTAGTGGACGTGCTGAGATGCTCTGGTGTATTTGCTTAATGCCGTCTTGCGTCTCTCGTCGGCCTGTGAACAGGCTGCATCTGTTTTCCGCCAGTTACGCTTGTCTGCCCCTCTCGAGTGTCCAGCCCGACCCGGCTCTGCTGGCAGCTGTACCATCTGTGAGTGTTTCTCAGACACTGGAACAGGCCGATGCCGGTTATCCGCGGCCTAATCAATTGCGATCCCGGTGCTGACGGTCCAGGCAGAGCAACAGTTGTCACGACATCTCATACGTGCCCATGCCACCCGGCCCTCCCCAGTCCGGATGAGAGGAATTGGGATCGGCCAAGCGGGAACAGCTGTCGGACCTGTACCACCGGTACTCTGCAGAGCTGTTGCCGAGGCGTCAGTGCCTCGGCCGAACAAAGGCTGCGTCTGTCAAACAGCCTCTTCATCTTCACCCATTCACCTCCAGGCCCCTGACTGTCTACAGTCAGTCCCTCAACTTGTTTGTCTCCCTTTGCATTTTTCTTTCTTTCTTTCTCACTCACTCTCTCTCTCTCTCTCACTCACTCACTCTTTCTCTCTCTTTCCCTCTCTTATGACCACTCCGAACCGACCCCAGTTGTCCAGCTTCCAGAGTTTTCACCAGTTGTCCCGTCTCGTCGCCAGTTGCTGGTAGACGATAGGCAAACGCTTTTATTTGCAATGAAAATTTGATTCGCCCTCTTGTACATGCACCCGTGCAGACTGACAACAGGGCATCCTTCGGCTGCTTCTGCTGTAGCCATGACACCAAGCTGGACCTTCTTATCGGTTAATGTGTTTGTGGGTTTCCTTGCGTCCGAAAGCACCAGTCAAGGAGCGGCTTTGTAAATTGACGCTGCCTCGCAGCTTTGCAGTTGTGACTGGTTTTGCGTCAAGAAGATCTCAGTTTACTGTTCATGCTGAATGAATCCTTCTTGGCCTAAGAGATAAATAATTGTTTTCCTTCTGCCGACAAAGCCCCGACACCGATGCGTCGGAAACGAAAGATTGTAGGCCACAAATCCACACTCGTAACTCCAAAACAATCTTCGTTCCAAAGATAACATGGAATTATGATTCAAGATTCGTTAGCAGTCTCAAAAACATGCTTTATCTGAGTATAGTTAACATAGTCGATTTTGATGGCAACAATAGTTACCAACATACCTACATACCTTCATGCCTACCTGGCTATTAACCTGCACACATACATATGTAAAACCGTACATAACAAACATACACACATAACACACATAACACATACATACGTAAAACATAACTTGAGATCTTAAGAAGAATGAATTCAAGTTCTCATGTTGTCCGTCATATGATCGACGAAATCACAGCCCTGTTTTCATCCGAAATGAGGGCAGATAACTCGTGGACTCCGTCAACATGAACGTCGGGTTGAAGTCAAACGCCTGCAGTAAAACGGGAATCGAACGTCGTCGGCTGGTGAGATCTACCTACGAATCTCTTTATTATGCTCTTCCATAAGAAATTAAAATCTCCACAACAATGATAGCTCAGAAGATTAATCAAAGTCCAAATCGGGAAAAATAAACACACATATCTGCATACATACACACCTATAAACAGACACACATGCATGTATATATGTGTTGCAAGTATGCATATATTCATATATATTGCATACATGCATAAGTGAATATATGCATGTATACACTCACATGTATATACATATATGTATATATATGCATTCGTTTATACATACAGGTATACATAGATGCATACATATCTGCATGCAGGCATACATTTAATCTAATCCAATCTAATCTAAGCTAAACTCATCCATTAATACATGCATGAAAATATAAATATATACAAAAAAATGAATATATATATATATATACCCTGTGATCCAGGTGCATTAGTTGCATTCTGGCAAGTAGTAGCAGCATGTCGAGACTATGAACTGCGCTACTCGGGTTTATTTCGCGTTGGAAGTCACCTGAACCAGTCTAATCACTACTCCTGACGGGGTTCGATACGGCCCGGTGAGTAATACTAACGACATCGGTTGCCACCCCACTATACAGCCACAGGACAGTTGTAACCTCCAATGTAACTCACCGCTGGTTTGGGATTATCGATAAGACTGTTAGGATTTGCTATAGTAAGTGACAACTTTACAAAGATGTGATGGAAGAATGTTTCAAAGCTTCGTCGCACAACATAAAAATACCAACAACACTATTACATTTTTCGTCTCGAGCAGTTTTTCGAGGCTACCAGCGAATCAGTTATATGAATTGTTATGACCCCATCTCGAAAACATAGTTAAAACGAAAAATAAGTAATGCCGTCGATGGTCCTAGTAAAAATAAGTTTGCTTCATCGACAATCCCACCACAGAATGTGATATGGGAAATTGCCTGGCCTTCCTTGAACTTCTCATTTGTCCCATGACCCAAGGGCACTCGTAGAAATGTGGCATAGTGGTCAACGTGTCGAGCTTACACCATGCATCTTCAGGGTTCGAGTCCCGTTTGAAGTGTTGCTAAGACCTATGTGAGGTCGAAACTGCAGTCCAATCTGGAAAGGAAAGTCCACTTTTAGGAAAGCAAGACTGTGAAATTCAATGGGACTGTCATGTTTACTCATATCAATGTGGACAAATTCAACTATCAGTCCTTCATCATCTCAAACGAAATAAAGTGACCGCAAATATGGGGACCAAGATGGTGTAGCCTCTATTTTGGTTTCAGTTAACTTTTTTTCCATACAATTTGTCTGACCTCGTTAACGCAACAAAATCATCGGTCCTAGCTGAAAGTTGCTAGGACTACTATGGAAGAAGACTTCGGAACTGATTAGTTCATTAAAATCGCCCTCATCGGTACCCACAACCGGATTCGAAGCCAAATTGTGAATATCCTGTCGATGCTACCTCCTCACTCCATTCTGCCACACGACAGCGGGTGCATGTGGACAACAGTGAAACTGCATCCCTCAATGCAAGTCAAGCCTCTTCCGAATGACAATTTTTTATATTGGGACTGTCAACCAAGCAAGCATGTTTTTGTGAATGCAATCGACGACATTACTTATTTTCGATATGAGTAGTCTTGGGCACTATCAATAAGTCTTGTCAAAGAACGAATTCATCTTCATTCGACTGCAATGAAAATTTCCTCATTCATACTTCACTTATGAAGACGTTGAGACTATGGCAGGGCTGAAGCGAAACACACCAACATCGTAGCCACATTAAAAGGCCTATGGTCTTGTTTTTACTCGTCATATGGGGCTGCAACTTATGGTCGTGTGGAGGTCAAAATGAAGGTGTGCAAGGTGAAACCAACAGCTTTCATAATTCCCACGCTTCTTCTCCTTTCTCCAATTAAAAAAGTCCGTAAGATGACGACTGCTGG